CTGCGTCCTCCGCTGTCCGCGTTCGCACACTGACTGTTGCGAACGGCTCCTAACAGGGATAAGGGTGGTATAAGAGGACAAGGGAGACCAGGGGATTAAGATGACCAGTGACATAGAAAAGTGGGATAATTCCCCACTTGGCTGTAATAAAATAATTGAAAAAGGCTTGTTTCTTAAAAGCTAAATAGCTCTCGCACTTGTTTCCTAGATGAAGCAATAGATGGCTGCCTCAGTTGTGTGCGTTCTCATGCTTTTGCTGTTTTTTACTATTTGCTTGTTTTTCTGCAATCCATCTCGGATTACTTTTAACAGAGAAGAGCTTTAAAAAAAGCTGAAAACTCACTCCAAACATTTTCTCTCCTTTTTATTACAAACACAAAAAGTTGTAGTTGGTGAAGTTATAATAGTGGGGAACCTGACCATCATGCTTGTTTATCAGCTTAGCAAATCAAAAAAAATGGATGAACCGCTTCTTGTTAACCGGACTCATTTTCCACATTCTGATGCTCTGTGCTGAAACCTGTCTTGGCATGCGTGCTCTCCTCGCTGTTCTTCTGCATCTGTACAAACGGTTGCACCTCAGGGGACCCCTCTGTTAAATTCCTGAAGTTCCCAGACAACAGATCAATCTCATCAGAGATGGTGACGAGTTAGCCTACAGACAGGAAGATGAACAGCTAGACCTGTGGTGTGGTTGCAGCAACCCCCACCCCACCCTACCGCCCTCTCACCATATTCAGCTGCACTATATCAGCAGTAGAGTCCTTCAAGCTTCTGGGCTCCACAGTCTCCCAGGACCCAAAGTGGGCAACCAACATCAGCACAATCACCAAGAAGGCACAGCAGAGGATGTACTTCCTATGCCAGCTGAGGAAGTTCAACCCGCTTCCTCATCAACAATAATAGGTAATGGGACTGGACTTGGTGCAAGGTTGAGTTCATAAAAACATTACAGTAAATGGAAGCAAGAACAACAGTAAAAGCATTAGAAACATTAAAGACAATAATAATGAAAACCTGATGCTTTGAGAAAATCTATGATTTTATTTGATTTTTAAAAAAAAGAATAAAAAAGAAAAAACACATTAAATATATTAAGTACAGACTTTCTAGGAAACTACTCTTAGATAATACAGCACCTGATTGCAATAGTGATACACCAGTAATAAGAGAAAGTACCATTTTCTCTGACATTGACTAATTGTTGTGAGAATATAGACTTATTTTACCACTGACACTCTCATGTTGATGGCTGGTTAAAAGGGAGGAAATCAAATCTGTAGGACTCACAAATGGAGCATCCGCTACATCAAACGTGTAACTGGAGAGGAATGTGGCTCAGCTACCACCATCCAAGAGGCAGACAAGATGGGAGAGGAGGGAAAATGATATTTATAAATTCCATACTTCCTGTTTGTCTGTGCCCACTTGCATGGCCAACAGTGGGAGGTCCAGTATGAGTTTCATACCATGGGAGTGAGGACATTTTGGCTGACACCTCTTCAGGGCAAAGACTTGTTTTTAGGGCTAAGGTTAGAATTAGGTTTAGGTTAGGCTTAGATTTAGCATTGTGTGTGTGTGCATGCCCGCTAATTCTCACACTGTGGAGACCAAACTCTGTTTACACTTTCACACTGTGGAGAATCACCAAGTAAATCATAGACTTTTGGGGTGATGACTTGGTTTAAGGTTAGGGTTAGTCAAGTATAGTTATGGTTAAGGTTAGTGTAAGTCTCCATGAAATGAAAATCAATGTAAAGACCTCATGACAAATGAAAACCAATGTGTGTGTGTGCCTGTGTGTACTCACACAAATAAAGGCGATAGAAATTCCTAATTTATTATAATTTTAAATGTCTTTTTTTATTGTTGGTGGGCTAGCAGATTTAAACCATACTGCCATTTTCATTTCAGATTTTGTGACACATTTACAATGATTTATATTTTCTAAGCTGAATGTTTTGAACGTTGACACCATGAGTATTTTGTCTGAATGTGATAAACCAAGGCACAGTAAGATCTGCTGTCTGTCTCTAACACATACATGCACACATATATATGTCTATACCTATACCTATAAGTTGGAACACTTTTTACACTGTCTCTCTTCCTCACATATGGGCATCTGATGCTTTTACCTATTCTTTCAAATCATGAGCTTACATACTTGGAAATTCAGGGCGCCTACTTCATGTTAACTTGCACTCTATCACGTATGCACACACAAAAAGAGAATTATAACACAGTGAATATGAAGCAGGGTAAATGCAGTAGAACTTTAGACTTGCACTACTACCAAGTCAAAGCAGAAACCTCTGGCACAACTTCACCCACTGGTGGAAAGAAACTAAATACATTTACTCAAGTACTGTACTTAAATACAGTTTTGAGGTATCTGTACTTTAACTGCATACTGTCAGTTTCTGTTACTTCATACTTCAACTTCACTACACTTTACAGAAAAATATTCAACCTTTTACTCACTACATATATTTGATAACTTTAGTTACTAGTTACTTTTCAGACTGAGGTTAATTAAACAAATTGCACTATAATCATAAGACTCTGATTGCTGGTGGGAATTTTACAAGCTAGTGTGTAAAGTACTTCAAAGTATATGCATACAGTATAAGGTGGTTAACATTAGCTCTACCTTTACTAGCTGTAACATTAACTGTGATGTACACAATTGTACACCAATAATAGAGGGCGGCTGTGGTTTGGTGGGTAGAGTGGTTGTTTCTCAAATGGAAGGTTGGAGGTTCGAATCATGGTGCCTGTAGTCCACATGTTGAAGTGTCCTTGGACAAGACACTGAACCCCAACTCACACCAAAGGTTAGAGCCATTGGTGTGAGTTGGAACCACAGGTGGCTGCCTTGGTTCCATGCCTGAAGCAAATTTCTTGTGTGTGTGTGTGTGTGTGTGTAACATACTTGGCCAAATAAAGTGATTATCCTTATCCTTTTTATTATAGTCCAATATATGATATACATTAATGTGGACTGTGCCATTCTGCTTAATGAGTATTTTTACTTTTGTACTTTTACTAAAGTAACAATTTGAAAGCAGGAGTTTTACTTGTAACAAAGTATTTTTACACTGTGGTATTGCTACGTTTACTTAAGTAAACAATCTTAGTAGTCCTTCTACCCACTGCCAAGGTGCATAGTTGAGAAAAATAAACTGAAAAGGTCACAAATTCAGCAACACCTTTATCTACTTTACAACAACTTTACTACTACCAAGTGCAAGAACTTTGTATTTCCATTACAGACGTACACTGCCATTACTCTTTCACCTTTTTGGTGTTTTTACAACAGTATTCCAAGTGATACAGCTTAATTATTTCTTATGTTTAGCTGAAATGCATTAGTCTGACCAAAACAATACTTTTAATGCTGGAGTTTTAACCATTTAACCAACTTAAAACTTTTACTTATTCCACAAATATATGCAATAACATGGTATTACATAGATGTCGTGCCCCCTGTGTTATGCCTGTCACTAGCTCCAATTCATCAGGGATGATAGTGGCAATGTTTTTACTGAAAATTCAAATATTTTTTTGGAATTAACATCAGACAGATTTAAGTTCTAGATTTGTAATCAGTGACTGATTATTTTCCTGTCTGCAGTTGCAGCTGTCTTACAGCTGACAGTGCTATAAACACACAGCAATTAAAGAACCGATTCCAAAAATGTCTGGTCTGCTTTCTTTCACTTTTATTTGCTTTAACAATTTAAATATTTCATGCACAAATGGAATACATGTTCAGTGTCTTTGACTTTCTGTAAAAATACACTTTAGTCTTTGAAATAACAAATTTTCAGCAAACTGTGGCTCTATTTCAGAAGCACTGAAGCACTAACATCATCACTGTGTCTTTGCTGAGAGCAAGTGTACTCGTTGCAACAAGAAAGGGTTTGCTGACTAAGTTTTGCTGATTTTTTTTTACAGTGTTTACATGTGCCAATATACTGTATTGTCATCCATTCACAGTGCAGAGGTGCTTTTTGCCAAACTTGGTTACAGTAAAGTTCTTTGCAATCAGTGAGAAAAAATATTTCTTTATCTACTATATCAAATCAATACAGCAAAACACACAGACATTAATTTTCGGTGCAAACTGTTAAAATGGAAAACGATAAATTAAGAACACAACAGCAGCTGAATGTGTGTATTCATCACTCCTTGAAGAAACCATTAACAAGTAAACTGCTGGGTCTAAAAGGTACTATATACTCTCAAATATCACAACTGTGATTTTTAGTGCAATTTCACTTGTTTACATCACAGCTTGCTTTTTCTCCCTTCTCCTTTAACCATGCACAGAGAAAGGTGGTCTGTAACAAAAATGTTCACCTTGGAAAAAAAATAAATGCATGGTATAGTTTGCATTAAAAAGTTATCTATAAGTAATTTGTTTTTCACATTTAGCACTAAATAACCTTGCAACTGCTTCCTGCAACCAGAAGTGAGGACTAGTATTATACATCTAATAAAATTATAGAGTTATTAATGATTTGTAGCCATGAAGAGAATTAATATGCATTTCTTCAAACAGATCTATAACAGATTAAATTCTCAAGTAACCACCCCACCGTACATTTACACAGTCAGATAATGAAATCTTTTGAAAGACTGCCTCCTACACATTTGAATAATCTTTTTACAAAATATGAAAAACAGCATCCCACTGTCTTGGCTGTTTCTCAGATTTCTGCACACTCAAGTCAATTAAATTCAACACGTCACCTTTGTTTCTACAGACATTCAGAGACGTCATGTCCCTAAGACTAAGTTTTGCTTTTGAGTTTTGGAAAAATCCTGTGATTAAGGCCATTAAGATCATTATCTTGTTCAAATACATGTGTAGAGAAATACAGTGTTGGTCATTTATAAACAAAAAATAGGCTACTATTAATGCCCTGTTGTTATAATTATATACAAGTAGTGATACAGATTGTGCATAAAATGCAGTGGCTTTCATGCCTTGTCAAATGAGATGTTTATCTTGTAATATTTTCTTAAATCGTCACATTGGACATATGTAAGGCCTGTGTAACAATACATGAGATGGGTGCTGAAGTGTGTAAAGCATCCTGTCATGATGTACTTCAAAAAACTAATCATCTCTTAATGGATTTTTAGAGAGGCTTGAATCCATGAATCTTCCACCGTATATCTTGGTAGCCTAACACAATTCCATCAACATACTTATATTTTATATTTATTCATACATTTACATATTTTATATTTATTTAAAGGTCCACAAGCAGGAAACTCCCTCTCACACAAAGACTAAAGTGCTGAAGCCAAGAATGCACTGTCTGCATCCAACTGTTTACTATCAGAGTTTAAATATAATCATGTCGTAAGACGTGTTTGTTTGGGTATAGTAGGAAAAACTAACATCTTTTCTCATGCAGTCATACCCACAGAATTTGTAAGTGATAGGTTTGATGGCAGTCAGCTATTCAGGCTTTACCATTTTGTTGCTATGTAGATATAAAGAAGGAAAGTGGAGTCACATATAATAAACAGCCTGGCAGGACTGTGGGAGCTCAAACTCACTCACGTAGAGTCAAATAATGAGGGGGCAGCAGCTTCTGTGCCCTGACAGGAAAAACAAGAAGAGATGTTAGAGGCAGGAGAATTTTTTTTTTTCAAGTATCTGTCTAATCACCCTTCATTCTCCATCCTGGTAATAAAGTGATCCCTTCCTCATGCAATTACACTGTACAAAATAATGGACAAAATCCATAGCTTGTTCAGAAATAAATTCCTAAGTGGTTTTATGACTAATTCATGTGAACTTTGTGGCATTTATTTTGTTATTTCCTTTAAAAACAAAGTACTTTGTTTTGCAAGGACCTTGGATTCATATAGTATTTAAGTGTCACATAACACCTTCCTTTTTCTAGCTTCCTAAATGTCCTTGACACAGCTGAAGTTGAAGAGCTGAACAGCCAACAAGTACAATGCCACCGACATCAGTTTAACTTAAGTTAAACATCTGGCAAACACAGCTATTTTTAGCTACCACTTAGCTTTTTACCTTAACATCCAGTCATTAGCTTGTATACAAACCTAACATGTCACTTCCTCTGACACAAACAGCTCAGTCTTGGGATTGTAGCTGTGTCAGAAAGGAGAGAAAGATCCAGGATGCAGGTGAGAGCAGGCCAGCTGCAGGGAGACAGCGCAGCTTTGGGCTGTTTAAGACCCCTGAAATATTTTTCCATGTAAACTGTTCAGATGATTAAATGAGTTTATCCATATTCTATATCTCTGTGATTGAATTTTGGTCATGGGGCTACAGTTAGTTTTAGTATATTTGGATTAACTGTGGAGTTCTTCTGCTGTGTGCAGATGGGTGTCATGGCATATGTCCATATGTAACCTGTGTGCACAGTTGGGGGCTGGGGGGCTAATAGAAGTATGTGTTTGTATGTGTGTGTGTGGGGTGGGGTCCTTTGGAGCTCATCTTGTGCCGAGCATGCGCAAGACACGTGATGAGCCTGGAGGGATGTATTGGAAAAATCTACACTGAGTTTAGCTTCACTCACAACTAGCAAGAAAGTACACTAAAATTTTGTGTTTATTTTTACCTGTAAAATTTTAAGCTTTATATACATAGACATGTGTGTGTATATATATATGTATGTATGTATATATAAAATTCCCCACTCGCTCCCCACTTTGGGGCGGTCTTGTATTCCTTCCTTCAAGCTCGGGTCCTCTACCAGAGGCCTGGGAGCTTGAGGGTCCTGCGCAGTATCTTAGCTGTTCCTAGGACTGCACTCTTCGTGTTCTTATTACCACGGGGACCACTTGTGCCTTCACCTTCCACATCTTTTCTAGCTCTTCTTTCAGCCCTTGGTATTTCTCAAGCTTCTCGTGTTCCTTCTTCCTGATGTTGCTATCACTTGGGATTGCTACATCTATCACTATGGCCTTCTTCTTCTGTTTGTCCACCTCTACTATGTCCAGTTGGTTGGCCATTACCAGTTTGTCAGTTTGTATCTGAAAGTCCCACAGGATCTTAGCTTGGTCATTCTCAACCACCTTTGGAGGTGCATCCCATTTTGACTTTGGGACTTCCAGCCTGTACTCGGCACAGATGTTTCTGTACACTATGCCAGCCACTTGGTTATGGCGTTCCATGTATACCTTGCCTGCTAGCATCTTACACCTCGCTGTTATGTGCTGGATTGTCTCGGGTATCTTGTGCACAGCCTGCACCTGGGGTCCTGTCTGGTGTGGTAGACCCCGGCCTCTATTGATCTTACACTTAGAGCTTGTTCTTGTGCTGCCAGGATTAGTGCCTCTGTGCTGTCTTTCAGTCCAGCTTTGTCCAGCCACTGCTAGGACTTTTTGATCAGCCACTTCTACTATTTGACGGTGGTACATACCGTGCAGAGGTTTGTCTTTCCATGAGGGTTCCTGTTCCTCCTTCCCTTGTTCCTCTGCTTTCTGCTGCCTGAGGTATTCACTAAGCACGTCATCACTCGGGGCCATCTTCCTGATGTACAGGTATTCATTGATCTTTGTTGTTTCATCCTGGATAGTGGCTCTGACGCTCACTAATCCTTGGCCTCCTTCCTTCCGCTTAGTGTACAGTTTCAGGATGCTGGACTTGAGGTGAAACCCGCCATGCATTGTAAGGAGCTTCCTTGTCTTGATGTCAGTGGCCTCTATCTCCTCCTTTGGCCAGCTTATTATGCCAGCGGGGTACCTGATGACCGGCAAGGTGTAGGTGTTAATTGCCCAGACTTTGTTCTTTCCATTCAGCTGACTTCTCAGGACTTGCCTTACTCTCTGCAGGTACTTGGTGGTTGCTGCTTTCCTTGCGGCCTCTTCATGGTTCCCATTTGCCTGCGAGATCCCAAGGTACTTGTAGCTGCCCTCAACATCTGCT